CGGGCCTCGCGCCCGTGCCCCTGCCCGCGCGGGTCAAGAGACGGTGGTCAGTTCACCCCCCGAGACCCACCAGCTCACCTCTGGCGCCCGGCACTACCTCTCATTCTGGGCCATCCGCACGAATTCCCATTGTTCCCGCAGACTTCCTATGCCCTTCCTAGGGCCTCAAGCAGACCCTCTTCGATCCACCGCTCCCAAATGCCCACTGAGTCCTCGGGCCCCGCCTCGCTCTGGCTCTCTCCCATTCCTTCGCCGATACACCTGGCTCCAGCGCCGGGGTTTCCCGGGCCTCTCTGCCTATCTGCCCACCTTTTCTCCCCCCACCACCCCCTTTCCTCTCCCTCCAATCGCCACTCTTACTCGGTGCACCGACGTCTCTAATCCCCCCCACCCCCAAACACACACACCTGGAGGTCTCTTCCCGCCCTGAACTCAGTCCCAAAGGGCACACTATTTTGAGGGCTCAGTCACAACCCCGCAGTTTTCAGTGGGGAAAGTGTGGTCGCCACACCTAGACTCCTTACATTACCTTTTTCTAGTCGAAATAAGGAAAGGGGATACGTGTCCCTGCTAGGAGTTAGGACCTTAGCTCGTCCCTGTAGACTGCCCTCTTCACTACAGGTCGCCTTATTCCTAGGCGCTCCAGGGCCCTTGGCTGCCCGAGGGTACCGGCGGCGCGTGCCGTAGGAGCCGGCAACTTCCCCACGTTCTTCCCCACTCGTCCTCCGCGAAGGGTCCCCCAGCTCGCGGCTCACCTAATGTCTCTTCCCACCCCTCACGTTTCTGGTCAAGCTGTGCGCTCAGTGACATCAGCAGGTGTGATGACAAAAAGCAAAGAAGCACGTCTAAGAGCTTAATGCTTCCCCCAGGCCAATCTCTATCTCCACACGTCTCCCAGAGATAAAGGATGTGTTTGGGAGATGTTCAGAATCCCACCTGTAGGGCGGCTCAAAGATTCTGGGGGTAGGAGCGCAGAATGCCCCTTCCGCTGCCTCCCCCGCGTCCTGTGCTTACGACTGGGTGCTTGCAGCCTCTGGGTGACTGGGATGGGATAGGAAGAAAAGAAATGAGAGGGAACGAAACGAAGGAGCAGGAAAGGGACCGGCCTTTCTCCGCCTTCGGTGCGATTCTACTTTTCAGCAACTTTTTAATAAATACCCTTCCGAGGCTGGACAAGAGGTCCTTTACTAGAAGCCAGGAGAAATAGCTAGTTTAAGAGACTGTGAAGAAGTATGCGTGGTGCATTTTACACCTCCGCTTCTCCAATTTCTGACGTTCTTTAACTCAAGGACTTGTTGGGAGCTCCCTTTGGCTTCCCAGTTTGAATCCTGCCTTCCTAGCTTTTTTCCTCGAAAATTCTAATTGCAGCTTCGGTTGTTAAATGTTAAGGATGCTAACTTATGTAGCTGGAACAGCTCTGAGTCACTTGAAAACACACACGCACGCGCACACACACACCTAAAATGGATATTTACTTCAAGGGAAGAGAAAGATTTGCTGTTTCGAGAATTCTTTTTTTTTTTTTTTTTTGGCGTGTGAAGGGGTAGGGTTGCCCGGAAGTTAGGAAAATCCAGAGGCAGTTGCCTCCTGGCCTGCAGTGCGTTTGGGTCACTTGAGCTCCCTGTCTGGGGTTATTTGCAGTCCTGGGTTGGAAGAAACACTAAGTTTTCTAACAGAATCATCTAGCTGGTGATTCTAAAGACATTTGGGTATGGTAGGGGTGTGGTTAAGCCCCATGATTTGGTGTCCAACCCTATCCCTGAACCTGAAGGTCGTTTCAGCTCCTTTGGAGGAGACTTTAAGTGTGTGTGTATGTGTGGGGGGTCTGGCTTCAACCTGGAGGACAATAAGAAAGTGAACCCCCTAAACACCTTAGCTTTTGGTGAATTGAGTCTTCGCGTTTGCACTGCTCCTAGTACTTGGAGAGAAATGCAGAGTTCAGCAACTCATCTAGATGTTTTCCGAACGTGGGAAACACCAGCAGGCCGGGTTTTGCAACAGACAGTGTACTCCGCTACCCCCCCCCCCCTCCAATCCACAGTCTCCAGCTTCCCTCCAGCCCAGGGAAGTGTAAACAGCTTGTTATGTAAATTGCAAATCGAACTGCTCGGACGCTCTCAGTTCCCCGCTTTGGGTATAGAAATTGCCGTTGTGAAATTAGTATCTGGCTTGCAGGGTCGGGGTGGAGGGGAGAATGGAGGGGCGCAGTTTTATAAAGATCAGCTTTCCACTGGTTTAGCTCTGGATATTCGCCAGGAAAAGATATTTGCATTTGTGTTTTATAAGCTTATTCGGAAGCAAACCTCCAGTAAACGGTTTGATTGTATTTCAAGCACTTTACTTATTTTATTATTGTTACTTAGGAGGTTGTTTGAACATTAAGACACCAACATGAAGTCTTTTGGGAAACAGGTTAAAATTTTTATTTTCAGGCTAAGGTTTTTGATTCTCCTTTTCTGTTGCTACAAGGGTAGCTCAGTCGTCCGTCTCCCCTAGAACCCAGATCTAATTGGCAGAAAGGCCCCCCGCAGAACCTTTTCGGCTTCTTTTTGACACCTCGAGTACTTGCAGCCTGAAGGCCCCGCAGGCGACAGCAGTAATGGATGTGTAGTGGAAGCGTCGCTCGGCGCACCCCACCTCATTCCCCTCCTTGACTCTCCAGGCCCGGTGGCAATTTTCCGGGCCCACCTGAGGGTTCTTGCTCTGAGTAGGGGGCATGACGTCACAGCAAGGTTTAAAACAAGATCCCTCTGGGCCCCTCCTACGCAAAAGCACCAGGAAGGGGGAGGTGGCACGCATTCCAGGAAATGCCCGGTTAGGGGAGGAGGTATGGAGAGTTGGGGGCGAAGGGACCAAGTTCTAACGAGTTACCAGGAGCCAGAAATCCCTCTCCTTTTTCGAGTAAAAGAGCGAGAATCGGGGTTGGGCAGGGACCCCCCCGGAGCGCAGAAAATCACTACCCAGGGGTGCAAGCTGGACCCAAGCTGCTTCCATTGCCCACCCTGGAGACCACTTGCTCCTCAGCCTTCCTGCGTCCTCAGTCAGCCCTGGGCGGCTGTGTCGACCGCCGGGGGTGTCCAAGCCTCCACCCCATTTTTTTTTAAAGTTTTGCCCACGTTTTTGGATGAGTTTAGCCCTATAAGTGGAAACGTCGAGGGGCTAGGACGTCTGCGTGCTGGCCCTCGGGGGCCGGATGGGACAAGAGCTACCAGACATGAGAAAGGCAGGCTGAGAAGAGGGAAGGGACGACTCAACAGGCAGCAGGGATTCCCGGGGGCTTTGCACATCCAGGAGAAAGGCTGCACGTTCGCAGCATCCCCCACTTAGCTGTGGGAGACGTGGAGGATTAAGGCAATTATCCCGACAATGCGACTTGAAAACTTCCCACTAGGCTGCCATCAGAAACAACTGGAGCCAAGGCCTTTTGGGGGTGTCTTTGAACTATTTAGATAATTGTCTTAGTTCTCCATTTGGCCTCGTTGTCGAAGCCCAGGGGTAGGGGAGGCTACCCAGGTGTCAATACCCGTTATTCGTTATCAAACCATCAGGCAGGTTGCGTTTGTCATCGGTGTGACTTTTCAGCAGAGGGAGGAGGAGGGGACCAAACGTCTGGGTGGCCGCGCGACTGGGACGGATCGACTTCCTCCTTCTCTCTCAGTTGGAGAGTTCGCGGAATAGAGGTTTGGTTAATTCGGTCCCTCTATTTCAGCTTCTCCTTAATTGAAAAAAAAATTGCCTACAATATAAATGAAAAGAGTTTGTTTTTCGATTGTTTCCAAGGTAAAGTGATCTGTGTTACCTATCTACATGATTGAATTAATCGGATAGTGGCTGTCTTAGACGCCGCGGCCCAGTAGGGGAGGTTCGTATGATAGGATAATTTAATGTCATCTTCCCAAACTGTCCCCACCCCCTTATTGAGAGAGAGAAGGAAGGGGGGAGGGAGAGAGAAAGAGAGAGAGAGAGATATTATTACTCCTAGGAATCAGTTCCTTTTGTCACCCCTTTGTAGGAAAACTTCAGTCTCGGTGAAAAGCGTTTTCGGGGCTCTGAGTCTAGCTGAGCAGTAAACTGGGGTCACCAGGCTTCTGGCAAGTGAATCTTTAACTTTGATGCCTGGCCACAAAAGGCTCAGGGCATTCTTTGTCTAGGCAGAGGTAGCTGGAGAGTCAAACTGGCACCTTTCATAATCTGAAATTAGAATAAAACTTGTAAAGGGGAGGATGATCAGAAACGAGTTGTTTGTAAGTGGGTCTGCCCGCGCCTCGGTTTCTCCCCATTCAGGTCCCCAACAGAACTTAAGCGGCTGCCGCACTTGAGGGCCTGGAAAGGGCAAGAGAGGCCCCTCCACCTTCCAAACTCTGTGTGAAGTGCTGGCGGGTCCCCGGCTTCAGAGCCTGCGGGGTGCGGGCGGGAGCCGGCCGTCGGAGAATGGCGTGGCGAAGGCGCCTTCCCCGGCTGGAGCGGAAAGCGCGCGCTCCTGCACAGTTGCGCCTTGGCAAAGGGTGTTGGAGGAAAGGCTTTGATCAGCCGAACAGACCCACAAAAGACTCCGGAACCCCATGCAGGCTGAAGTCAGCTGCACCTTTGTAGAAGGAGAGCTCTTGCCCGGCCACCAGCCCCGCGCTGCGGCGGACCCGGGCACCAGAGCTGCCCCGAACCTTCCTTCCCAGAGCCCGAGCTTCGGGACCCTCGGCCCCTCCGCGTGCTCTGCCCGCCCGAACTCTGGGACATTCCTCCCGAAGTCCCTAGTCCTATAAGGGCGCGTACCACTGTGTGGCTGGGCCTGTGTGCTCAAAGAGCAGACCGCCTCGGACCCCGCACCTGTGGAGAGCGGTAGGGAGCCCTGGGCCGGAGCCGTGCGTTGGCACCTCTCAGTGCTGGGACAATGCCAGCACCTGAGTTTCTGCAAAAGGCCTCCCGCGAGCGCCTGGAGGGCGTCGCCATTGGGGGCTGTCTGGATCTGGAAATAGTGGTGCGGAGCCCCATCCTCCCTTTGTAGGCTTTCTATCTCTTCCCAGCAAGGGAAGGCAAAAAAGAAAGGAAAATGTGCAAGATCCTAGGCCGTGGGACCGTCCGGGGCTGGGGATCCCCGGCTAGGGGATGTAGATCCCTGGGCTAGTCCCGAGCCTCGGAAGCCAAGCACAGCCGGCCGCTCAGAGGCTGGCAGTTGGACACTGCGCGTGCTCCGAGCGCCCCCTGCAGTCGGTGGTCTCATCTCCACCGAGCCTCTGCAGCTGACTTCATCCCCCGATTCAGGCCTAGCTTCCTCAGAGAAGAGGGTCTTGGGGGGAAAAAAAACATGCCGCTGGGGCCAGGCTCCTTGTTTTCACACACTGCAACTCTCACAGCCTCTGGAACCCAGTGAGGAGGCTACTTCCATCGTAGAGACTATCTCAGACTCCCAGGCACAGACCAGAGAGATGTGTTTTGTCTCTGGAGAGGGACTTGGAATTGGGACGCTCAGCCACCAACTACACATTCCTTCTAGGCGGCCCCCTTTAATTGATGTACACGTTACAGAAAAAGCAAAGCCGCTTCATCAAGTGAGTTACATTCTGGGAGATGCCAAGGAATGCATTTACTGGGAGCCAGGTCTGCCAATAAAAGTCGCAGATATAGACTGCTGGTTTCCAGGAAAACGTACCTCTGTGTTTTAGCCATTCAGTATTAATTACCAAAAGCCAAACCTCCAAAGAACCGGTTTAGAGAACAGGACCAGTGAGTGGCACTGATGGTGGCTGCTAGTGAGATCTCACACCCCCACATGCATTTACACACCCCCAAGTCACTGTGAGAACAGACTATACACACCCACGGAGAGACGCGCCAGTATGTACATACATGGCAGGCGCAGACACAGGGCTAAACGCTGGCACCCAAGGAGGTATGCATTCGGATTAGTGCTATTTAGTTTGGAACTGAAGCTATAAGAAAAGACAAACTACAGCAAATAGAGAGGCAAAGGTCCACAGCACATAAAATAGAAGTAAATGTATGTGAAGGGATTTGCTCTGTAGTATTTAGCTGTGGTAGTCCCAGTATGTTATTCTTTACAGCACCTCACGCATGCCAAGCGCATGCCACTACTGAGCTGTACCCCAACCCCTCAGAATTAATTTTTTTCAAGTTTTTCAACTAAAAAAAAAAACTCTCCATTCACCAACAACAGCAGCTTTTTTTTCTTCCTCAAAGCTTGATTTGGGGCAGAGTATGAGTACTAATGAAAGGCGAATTTGTTTGATGTGCTATTTCTCTGTTCTTAAGCACAGATGCTAGTAACCATGATAATGATACGTAAGGTGCTTGGAGCATTGTCATGTTTCATAACAAGGGTGCTATAAATAATCATTCTGATTAATCCTCTCAAGGACCCTGACATGGATGCTACCTCCATCTTATTCCTGGGAAAAAAAGAAAAAAGAAAAAGAAAGAAAGCTTGGAATAAATAACCTGCCCAAGCCACACTCCCCTCACTATTTTCCTTTACTGTGTCTTATTGGATCTAAGATGCCATTTACAATAAGGTATCACAAAGAGAGGGAAAAGGAAAACAATTAAACATCAATTGCAACTCTCATCTCCATTTCAGATGTTAAAAATGTAAAACAAGAAAGTGCATTTTAGATCAATGATATGTTTACGGATCCATTTAATCAACACATACACAGGGACCTCTCTCTGTTTGGCATGATTCTAATAGCTGGGATCCCTTTGATGGACATCTATGTGAAGGTCAATACTAATAACTATGGAAAGAATGTTTATGGACTCTGATGATTGAATCCATTATACATGTGTAAATATATTGGACTTGCACTGGGATGGTTTATCTGCACACTTATATTTGAGACACACAAGAGTGCGAAATGACATTTACATGCACAGAAAATGCTATATATTTGGGCATGAGCCTCCTATGAATATGAATAAAGATCCTGCTGTTTATTGCATTTTCTCTCTTCCTGGATGCTACCTGGTGGCTCCTCTCCTGTTTTCCTCTCCATTTAGTTTTTCCAAGGAAGTTTCCTCAGGAAGGATAGCAAATGAAGACCAGATGACATTTCCTACTCTTTCCTCCACTCCAGCTCCTGCTTCCAGAGGAGCCAGCCAGATCCTTGCAGGCTAGGAAAGATCAGGACCCAGTCAGCAGGCAGGAGCATTTTCTTTCAGTTGCCATCACAAAATTTGGGCAAAAGAGTCTGGAGGAGGAACACGGCTGCAGAAGGTGGGTTTCAAGTTGTGGCGAACCCCAGGAACCCTTAATGAGACTGTCATCAAAGTCAGGCAGTTAGAGTCACAGGGAGTCACAGTGAAAGTCACACTGAGGCTCTCAGGACAGTGTTGGCCCAAGGTAGGGTAGGGCTTCTATGCAGGACTGGCAAAGTCTAGTTCAGCCTTCCCCCAGCATATCATTCTGGCTCCTTGACCTTAAGTCCCACAGCACATATGTCTGAGGCCCACGGAAGCCTTTGACCTGTGGAGAGGATATGGGAGGTATTTGGAGGGAAGTAGGAGCAGAGAAGAGGAGAGAGGTTTGTAGGAGCCAATATGCGCCAAAGGCAGCAGAGCCTTTTTTTCTTTCCTGGGAATTCCTCCCCTACCCAATCAGGAGTTGGCCAGGGTCTGGAAGATTAACCCAAGGGCCAACATTTGTGGCGTGAGGGTGCCCTGGAGCACAGAGCCCTAGGAGACCTCAGCCAGGCCTGTGTGGAAGCCTGCAAGGCGTGAGCCAGCAGCTAGGGGCTCTGCCCTGGCAGGACTGCATCCCCTGAGCTAGGGGCAGGCACAGGCATTGAGCACTACCAGGCCAGACTCCTCAGGGAGCCCCTGCCAGCCACGGTGGCAGTCTGGGACTGGCCTGCTTCTCTTCAAGACCAGCCAGGTTGAGTGTCTGGCCTGCCTTTGTCTGCCTCAGCCCAAGGAAGAAGGTCCATTTCCAGGCCTAGTGCTGTGTGCACACAGGCGCGCACACGTAATCCTGAGCAGGGCCTGTGTTTAGTCTAGCTCACTGACGTCCTTCCTGAACAGATGGGAAGAGGAAACGATTTTCTCAGCCATTTTTGCCTTCACCGTACCCCAGCCCATCCATCATTTTCTCACCTATCACCCTCAGGACGGCAGAGCATTCATTCCCTGGATGGCTGCAGAGTCCAGGAGAGTCCCGGCTGGGTCAGGCAGAGTCGGTCACACCCGCCCTGTGTGCGCTTTTCCTTCTTCCTTTGACACAAAGGTTTACATTATTGGATAGCCCTATGATGAAACAGGCACTAGATTAGATAAGGTTAAATTACACTTTTATAAGGTGCCAGGATGGGCCACAAGACATGCTCCTTTGATTTGGGAGAGTGTGCACTTATAATTATAGTTTGTTTCTCTATAGTTATCACTTCCCAAATAGACACCAAATAGACATACTATGACTTATTTGGGAGAGGTCCACATAGAACTCACAGCTAGGGAAATGAGTTACTGTCCAAGAAAGAGCCAGTTGCTGACAGCTGCTGACTTCCGGGAGTTAGGCCCAGCCAGCAAGGCTCGACTGTTTTTCTTTTGTGTGTGGTAATTCCATAGAGTACCGGTGCCATCTTAAGAAACACACCATAGTAGTTTTCATTGTGTGCCTTTATGAATATTTGCTATCAAAGATTATTTGTTAGGCCTATTTGTTTTAGTAGGGAACGTGTCCAAAGGCAGGCAGACGTGTCGCTGGGAAAATGTTGGGGCAGGAGTGGGCAGGGGAAAACACACAGGGCTCCACCCTCTGAACATCAGGGCAAACACATTCGCATATTTTGTTTAATATCACTCACATTGTCTACTGTCTGTTGGAAGCAGGTTAGTTTTCTAGTAAACATCACTGTCATTGATGCCAACTGTTTTTTCTGGAATGGGCTCAGAAGCAGTCCGGCTCCTTGCCTCCTCTTCATTCATTTCAGTTTTCAGTTCGTCTTTGGATATTTTAAAAGACAGGACTGGGCCGAGGGCACAGTTCAGTGGTAGAGCACTTGCTAGTATGGCAGGAGTCTGTGGGTTTCATCCCCAGCACTGCAAAAACAAATAAATAGAAATTAGAAAAAAGAGAGACATAATGTATTGCACTAACATTTCCTTTTATTTTTAAGTGAAGTTTGGAAAAAAAAAATCCGTATCTCGTATTTCTTGAGTTTGGCAAATTTCAAATTTTCCTTAAATATGCATTAAATGGGGTAAAATAAACACATTTTCTTACTTTCCCCGCCCCCTCTTCTTGCTGGTTTGTACATCAGCTTTCCTGATGATATCTATATAGCGCTGCTGATTTCCAAGAGATTCAATTATCAGATGGTGTTGACAGTCTGTTGTAAATCTCATAAAAGGAGGATTGTACTTTATTTTCTGACTGTGCCAGACATTTTCCAAGTAGGTATTTAGAACTCTGAAAGCGTCCTGAAGCAGATCGAAGTAATATTAAATACAGGTCAAGTGCTGGACTCAAAAGTTCTTGGCAATGACCCTTTAAAAACAAATTTCTCTGATAGGCCCAGATCTGCTTTTCTAATATTAGCATAACTTTCAGTTTTATCCATCAGCAAACAAATATTGTAAGTGTCTACATTTGGTGGAAAATGAAAATGATGGATGTATTATTTGTTCTTTCTCTTAGGAAAAGTTTATGAATTTTGAATCATTCAATCTAACATGTCTTGATGGATTCAATTTACCCTCCTGCACTCTGCCCCATTTATAACCATTTAATATAATTAAAAAAATTCAAAGTTAGGTGGGATGGGTGGAAGGAAGGAAGATGAACTTTGAGGAGAGATAAAACGAGGTCCAAACAGTGTATGAATGTGTCAGACTATCACAAGGATATCTATTAATATGAATGATTTTTATAATTTATGTATCAGTTACAAAATCAATTGGATTTTTAAAAATGAAGTCCAAAATTTTGAAGAAAACCCATGATGGTCTTTTATTGATACCACTTTCTCTTAGAAAGCGTGACAGCTGTGGTTATTAATTCTCTCATATTTTAAAGGGTTTACTAGTGATCATATGGGGAAAACGTCTGAAAGGGGTGTTGCAGGTGGGGGTCCTCGCTTGTCCTTCTAGAATCCTTCCCCTTTGGTGGGAGTCCCCAGTGCTGTTCACAGGGAGATACAAGGTGGTCCCTCTGTTTGCTGGATATTTTTTCTTCCTGGTGGTAGAGTGGGTTTATTATCATGGTCATGGTTCAAGCTTGTCTCCTCTTCTTTTTTTTCCTTTGTTCTTTTCATTTTCTTTTCTCTTTCTTCTTTCCTTCCTTTCTTTTTTTTGTGTGCATTTGTAGTGCTAGGGATTAAACCCAGCGCTTATTCTCTATCAATGAACCATACTTTCAGACTTCTTTCTTTCCTTCTTTCTTTCTTCCTTTCTTTCTTTCTTTCTTTCTTTCTTTCTTTCTTTCTTTCTTTCTTTCTTTCTTTCTTTCTTTTTCTTTCTTTCTTCTACATGAACTCTCTGACGCTTCTCTGCAAATGGTTTTTATATCATCATTCTCCTTCCTTAGATACACTTATCCCTGGGGAGGAGAAGGGCTAGAGCTTGGGGGTGGCCACCCCTTCCCACCTTTCCCAGGGCTGGTTGACCAGCTGACCATGCTTGGGGATCCCAGCAAGATCTGTGTCCTGCTATGGCCAAGTGCGATCTGAGTGTTGTCCCAAGTGGAGTGCAAGGAAGTTTCTCTTAAGGCAACAGATACATCCTTTTCTTTGGCAGTCAGTGGTGAATCAGAGGGACAGCAGGTCTGCCTCCCTACCTGTCACAGAACACACTGGGAAAATGTGCCTGGCAGACAGCAGTATTGGTGTAAATGTGTGGGAAACTTCTGGGGCCTTCTTATTGCTTCCCCCACTGAAGGAGGGCTAAAGCATTTGGGGAAGGCAGTCTGGTAAAGAGCAACCTGGCCCTCCGCTGGGCCATGGGCTGGTGGGGAAAGTGTAAGGGGCATGGGGCCACTTCCAGCACCATGACTTTGTGGCCCCATTTACAGGGCCCAGAACTGGAGATCCTGTCCTGGCCCCTCTCTTGGAGAGTGTGGGTGTTCTTCATGAATAGTTTCCATCTCCATGTGTAACTCTATGTCTGCCTGGTCCAACTTCTGCCCACATGCAGTATGCACCATGAAAGGCCATTTTTCTTTTTGAAGCAGATCCAATAATACACATGATGAAGTGCAGGCAACATGCCTGTGGAAAAAAATAACTTCTCCCAATTATTTCAATGGAACAAAATGGTTGGGCTCTCCAAGCAAGAATCTGACAGAGAAATGAAATCTTCCTCACTTAAGGTCAAGGCATTAGCAGCAGAGGGGGACCACTGGGGGGTCCAGCCGGCTTGCTGGTGGCCATGGCTTTAGGCCACATGCTGCATGCAGGACTTTGCCATTCCAGGCAGCACAGGGCCCAGCCTGAGGTGCCTAGCTATGCCTCGGTTTACCTTTTCTTTCAAGAGAGGTTAATATCTGTCTCTTACTTCACTTAAACATGAAAAGATTGACTTTTATGAGATGATCTCAATGGGGAGCCTTTGGAATGCCTTTGAAAAGAGAAACGGTGTAAATACAGGAAATTAAAAAACGAGGATTATAACATAGTAAATGAGGGAGTAGTTCTCTGAAGTTCTAGTTAACATCTCTGGAATTTAATGGCCACATACTACCTTGACAAGCCCAGACTGACAGAAGGTGTGTGTTCAAGGCTTCTGCTTAGAAATGAAGCTGCAAGAAAAAAACCAACAGGGTGGCAGAGAAAGGGTCAGATGCCAGCAACCCCCCAAACACCTGCCCCTACCTCCTTATTTATAATATTTTGTATATAAATCATCACAACAAGCTTTAGAAGAAACAGTGTTACAGTAGGGAAAATAGTCCTTTACATCTTGCAATAGATTCCTAGAGTTGTAAGAATGCAGTAACTACAAATATACACAATATCCAAATCTACCCTGATATGGATTAGGGTTGAAGCCAATGGGATTTCTCTCTCCTTCCTTCCTTCCTTCCTTCCTTCCTTCCTTCCTTCCTTCCTTCCTTCCTTCCTTCCTTCCTTCCTTCCTTCCTTCCTTCCTTCCTTTGCAAGATCATGCTAGGCAAGTGCTCTACCACTGAGCTACACCCTCAAGCCCCAAAGCTGGATTTTAATTAATTAATTTATTTTCAGAGTGAGATTTTTAAATGGCAACAGATTTGGAGTCAACCAGAAGGTCATTAGTAAACATACCAATTTCCTAGGATCACAAAAAAGAATGAAGAGCACTTTGCCAAACGTGGAACAGTGATGTATTCATTTGGATGAAGACTTCAAAAGAAAAACAAAAAAACAACCACAAGGATCTTTAGGGTGGTGCTTTCTTCCATCAAAGCCCTGCTCTATAGCTTGATGATGTACGGTTTCTAAATTTCCAGGTAGGGCAATGGGATTTGGGAAAAAAAAAAAAAAGATGCATTTGAGAGACAAGAGAACATGCAGAAATCTTCCAGAAAGTCCTGCGTGAACAAAGATGGGGAGGGGGCAGGAGAAGAAAAAGAAGCTGATGTGGATGGGGGAAGGAGAGGTGTGAATGGCCCTGAAGTAATTTGGTGAGAGGAAGAGATAAACAAGGGGCCTTTAGCCCCTGGGAAGGCCAGAAGGAAAGCCTGTTACTCCCAATAGCCAAGGCATTAGATTTCACGCAAAGCCCTTTATCTCCCCCCAGGACTGATGTTATCTGGGCTTGAAAATGATAAATCGTTTATATAACATTTGCTGATTTACAAAACGGAGGTGCTGTGAGGATGCGGAGGGTGGGGCTCAGGGGCACAAGCTACAGGGAGCGTTGACCTCCCCCATCATTTTGCAGGAATCTTATCTCCTGGGGAGTGGACTAGGAAGAGTGGAGGCAGGGCAGGGGCCGATGGAGCTGCGGAAGGAGAGGGGGCCGGCTGGGAGCGGGCTGAGTGCTGTGGGCTGTTCTTCTGGTTTTTCTGGGTGTGTGTGTGTGTGTGTGTGTGTGTGTGTGTGTGTGTGTGCGCGCGTGCGCTCACCTCCAGGGCAAAAATGCTCTGGCTTCCCACTGAGAGAATTCTCATGAGGACTTGTCTCCGGGCAAGTCACCTACAGGAGCTTTGCTCTGTGCTGTTCCCAGGTGGGGAGAGCTGGGTTCTAAAGGGGTGTCCGTTTTGAACAGAAGACATGTTCTGAGACTAGGAGAGGCGGCGAAGAACCAAGAAGCGGGGTTCAACCACAGCCAAGATGATTTCTAAGTGTCCATTATCATTTACAGAAAAGAAGCTCCCCTCCCCCCGCCAAACCTCTATAATCAACTTATTTTAAACAGACATTTGCAATTAATTAGTGGCGTTTTATTAGGGCTTACAAATTGGAGTTTTCTGTATTGTGATTTTTCTTGTGATTCTCGATAAATTGGACCTTGGTTTGGGGGCTCAGGGGTACAGTGCCTGCCTCGCCTGTGTGAGGCACTGGGTTTGATCCTCAGCACCGCATAAAAATACATAAGATATTTTAAAAAAATTGGACCTGGGTTTTGAAGACTGGAGCCCGTGGTGTTACTCAATTGTTCACGGACTAGGAATGTACTAATAGAGTTATTTCCGACCTCTCCCATTCATTTTCCTTTTTCTTTTAGTTTTTTTCTTTTTCCCCCCCGCCTTAGGAATCCGGGTTGTGGGTCCTTTTCGGGGGAGACCTCGACTGAGATGGTGCTCTGGCGCCATCTAGTGACAAAAGGAGAAGTGCACTTGGAAGCTTCTGAGCCGGCCGGGCGGTTTCCTACCAGTGAGGTGAAGAGATTGTGTCTGCCAGGTAAAAATCCTTGCACTTTAGGACTGTTTGTAAACCAAGAGCTTTCCCACTAAGTTTTGGTGGCAGGATGCCACGAGGGCTTTACTACTGGGCTCTTAGAATGACTCCACCTCATTAGGGAGAGAGTGAAGCTGAATGTTATGCTATCCAGTGGCCTGTTTCCCCACGGTGGGGGAAAAAGTCCCTAAGGAACTTGGGTTCCCTGTGTGGGACTTTGATCCTCTCCATCTTTAAGTCCAAACGTACCCTGAGAGACAACTAAGCCCTGGAAATGTTCAAACTGTGCATGTGGTCACAGGGCTCTGCAAACAGATTTGAGGGCTGTGTTTCGGGACTTGGGCCCACACCATATTTCCTACCTGACTTTGAACACTTGTTACTCTCCTGAAAGAAGCCCCCTCCCACCCCAGGTTAGCAGGGTGGCTCACACCTGTAATCCCAGCAGCTCTGGAGGCTGAGACAGGAGGATCGCTGTTCAAAGCCAGCCTCAGCAATGGCGAGGCACTAAGCAACTCAGTGAGACCCTATCTCTAAATAAAATACAAAATAGGGCAGGGGATGTGGCTCAGTGATTGAGTGCCCTTGAGTTCAATCCCTGGTTCCGGGGAAAAAAAAAAAAAGCAAGCTGTCCCTTTGGTGCTCCATGGTGACCATCAGTGTGTGGTGGATGGAGAAGAGAACAAGGAGGAGGATATGGTGGAGGGCAGGGAAGGAGGAACCCCTGTTTGCAGGCCAGCTATGGCAGGGAGGTAGGGAATCAGGTGCTGAGGAACACCTCCAGGCAGATGCATCTTGGGGAGTTAGAACTGTGTTTCCAGTAAAATGTTTTTATCCAGGCACCTGCTGGGAAATCCTCATGGAGCATGCTGACCCCAAGGTACAGAGATTAGAGAGAGCACATGAGAGAGGACGGGCTGTTATCACCACACCAAATACAGAGTCGTTCTCAACTTCAGGTAGGCCTGGGGCTCTGGAAAACAGGGGCAGAGGGAGACATTCGCCCTGGCTGGGCTGTGCCCCAGCATGGGCTGCCCCAAAAGTCATCCTGAGAGGGAGCCACAGACTGACAGGTGCTCCTTAGAAACCCCCCACCTGCTGGCTGACGTTTGCTGATCATCCTGGAAGTCTTAGATTTGGATGTGTCACTTAAAAATGCAGCTTTTACAGAGAGACCTCCACTATGGTTCCCATGAGGGGCCATGAGTGGCCACATTGACCATTAAAACAAAACGTTCGTGACTGCCCCCAAACAAGGCCTGGGAGATACGGAAAGGCCACCTTCACCTATGAGTGCATGGATTCATTTTTCTTTCTTCCTTCCTCTTTAAAATTTTGTCACTGGGGATTAAACCCAGGGCCTTGCCTTCCCTCCCTCTTTCTTTGCCCCCCTTCCTCCCCTCTCTTCCCCCCCCACCGCCCAATCTTTCCTTTTCAGTAGTGTTCGGGATAGAACCCAGGGCCTCACACATGGTAGGCAAGCACTTTACTACTGAGTTATATCCTCAGTCCAGAAGGACTGACTTCTGATGGAAGATTTTCAGGGTGCCCATTTTGAGTGGTAGCTGCTAAGCCCCAGGGAGCAGCTACAGGAGGTCTCACAACCTGGGGTGGTGGCTTGCTTCAGTTGGTCAGGGCACCGGCACTGGGGTCTGCATTATTTGCAGTCATGACAGGGCTCATGAGGACCGAGCTGTCATCTCATGAAGTGTCTTGCGTGCTCTGAAAGTTGAGGGGCCAGCTTTTCAGGAGGTGTCACCCCTTTTTCCTGCCTTCACTGGTGGCCTCGTGGACTCCAGTCAGCATTAGAAGTCTGAATCCCAGTTTTCTCTGATATGTGGATGCTGACCCATAATGGGATGTTGGAGGGGGGAGCATGGGAGGAATGGAGGAACTGTAGATAGGGTAAAGGGGCAGAGGGTAAGGGAGGGGGCATGGGAGTAGGAAAGACAGTGGAATGAGATGGACATCATTACCCTAAGTACATGTATGAAGACACGAAGGGGTGTGACTACTTTGTGAACCACCAGAGACATGAAAAATTGTGCTCTATATGTGTACTCTGGATTGAAATGCATTCTGCTGTCATGTATAACAAATTAGAATAAATTTTAAAATTAAAAAAATTCTGAATCCCAGATGAGGGCAAGACCAGTGAGATGCGTCTGCTGGGACGGCAGGCCTCTCCTGGGGAGGCCTGATGAGCACAGCTGGCCAGGCTAGAGGGCTCTGGCTGTGGGAGGTGGTGTCAATGGGCATCTGCCACCCAAGGATGTGAGACCTCCTGTAGCTGCTCCCTGCCCAGGTATTGCATGAGTGGAATTATATAAAAAGCCTTTATGAGCTGGAGAGAGTGTGTAATCTGTTCTGAAGAACATAAAGTTCATTGTTTCCCGTCGGCTGTGGCTTCCTCTCAGCTCAATCTATTATGAATGCTCACTGCCTGTCTCCCTTCCACAGGCAAATGTTCCACGGGCTTCCAAGAGGCTGTGTTCAGACACCAGAGTTCTAGCCCTTTAGGAATGAATGAGCTTACTTTAGAAAGAGATTTAATTGAAGACCAATTCCTGTTTCCTAGTCTGTTTGTGTTTTTGTTTTTTTGTGGTGCTGGGGATGGAACCCAGGGCCTTGCACAAGCCAGGAAAGCGCTATAGGCTGAGTTACACCCCCGGCTCGCCACTGCACTTCGAATCACTTGTAATTCATAACACAACCTGAACATTTATGTTTTAAACAGAAGGGCTTGGTCATACTCAAATGGAAACTTGAAAGGCAGGTACTTTCTCAACTTTTGATTTTTTTACCTTGACAGCCTTGAGACTAGCAGGGAAAGATCAGAGCAGGGAGGGAGTCCCTAGCAAGAAAGCAGACTCTAAGGGCTCTGGAGTTAAGGTAAGTAGCTGCAAAAGAAAGCTGGTCACTGGGCTAATGTCCACTTGCAAGTGATTTCCTTCTTGGTTAGAGTCTTCTAGCTAGCATTTTTCCCCGAGGATAGCAAAATGAAAATAACTTGTTTCAAAAGTATTCTCTCTCTCTCTCTCTCTCTCTCTCTCTCTCTCTCTCTCTCACACACACACACACACACACACACACACACACACACGCCCCTCTGGATCCCCCCTGGGAGTCACACAAACATTGCAAGCCTAAGTTGCCCACAGATTCCTGCATAGGGAAAGGAGGGTCACTTAACAGTCAAGGTTGGGGGCCCCTTCTTTACCAACAGCCCCATCCCAGGAATTTGTTTCTGTTAAAAATCCAAAGGAAGGAAGAAACCCCTCCAGTACTCCTCCTTATTTGTTTCCCACACGAGGGAAAGTCGTCCCCTTTTTTGGAGAAATGTCCAGGGTGATTTCCTTTGCCAGCAGGTGGGCAGGTGGGGACTCACTGAGGCACTTACCTGTGACTTCCTTCCTAGGAAGCAGGACGTGGAGTCTCCTTTGTCCCTCTGAGGCTGGCCCTCCTGGATCAAGATGGCAGGGTCTGGCTTCCTTTGGTTTGGTAAAAAGCTGTAGGTAAACCAGCAGCTTAGTACAGACGTGTCAGATGCGTTCTCAGGGAAGAAGTAACTTGGTCAGGGCTTCCAGAAATCATGCCACAGGAGCAAAAGCTCCTCCTAGACCCAAGAAGTCAAGGAAACCGATTCTGTGTCTGTTTTCCTGGAGTCCATGGTGTGTGTTTGTACAAGCCAAGCAAAACCCCCCTGTGAATTACTTCACTCCTCGCAAACGTTCGGCACAGCCTTCAAAATCGCCCAAGGATCTTTTCATCAGTTCAAAGGAAAAATGTGCTATTTCAATCTTCGAACGTATCTCTTTATAGCTGCAGAATTATCACGTCATGTCATATGCATGCTGCACCTGGGGGGTGGGGGCGTGAGCATGAAGTAGTTTTTTTTTTTTTCCTTTTGTAGTGTATTTTTTACAAAATTCACTTTAAAATCACACTGATTTGGCCATGTCTAGAAACATACGTGTGTGTGTGTATATATGTGTATGTGTGTGTGTGTGTGTGTGTGTGTTTAAGATTGAAGAAGAAGATCAACGTTGCTACAGATTTTTTGTCTTGTGGTGGGGGAAAGGGGAGGGAGAGGCAGAGGGAATGTGCTAGAAGGAAGTAGAAACATCGATTCTGAACTTTCATTCCGTCAGCACTGAACATGGCCCACTCTGGTGGCTGTGGGACTCTGAGATGGCTGAACTGCCATGGCTTGTTCTGGAGCCTTGTCCTCCTGGACCAAAGGGCTCCTTTGTGTTAGCAAGTCCTCTGTAATGTCAGTGGGGGCTGTGTGGTCTGGCCCAGCACACAGCTGTGGGTGATATGGCTGGGGACAAAGAGCAGATGTTTTATTAATGTGGGCCTCGTTAAAGAATGGTCTAGATGCTTTATAGTGTGAAGAAAATATCCGATGATGCTGGCAGACCTTTATAAGGTTGTTATAAACTTTATAAAATTGCAGTCCTCTTTATTCATGTTGTGGGGATATCATCCAAGATATTCCACGGATGCCTCAAAATCAGGACAGTACTGAGCCCTGTGTGGGCTGTTTTTTCCTGTGCATGCATACTTATATAAAGTTTAATTTATAAATTAGGCTCAGTAAGAGATTAACAATAATAGCTAAAATAGAACATTTATAACAATATACTATTAATATAACTTTTAATGTAAATCTTATTTAAAGTGTATGAACTGTTTTTTCTGGAATTTTCTATTTTATTATTTTAAAACTGTGCATAACTTTGGGTAACTGAACTACAGAAGGTGAATCCATAGATAAGTAGGGGGAAACCAATATATTTTATTATCATTATTATTTGGGGGGTACTGGGGATTCAACCCAGGGCCTGCCTGCTAAGTAGTGATTTTTTAATTTTTGTTTTTTTTCTTTAAATTTTATTTTTATACCAGTGATTGAACCCAGGGATATTTAACCACTGAGCCACATCCACAGCTCTTTTTAATATTTTATTTAGAGACAGGGTCTTGTGGCTCAGTGGTAGAGCACTTGCCTAGCACGTGCGAGACACTGGTTCAATCCTCAGCACCACATAAAAATAAATAAAAAATTAAAGGTATTGTGTCCATCTACAACTAAAAAAAAAAATTAAAAATTAAAAAAAAAGACAGGGTCTCCCTGAGTTGCTTAGCTAAGTTGCAGAGGCTGGGTTCTTGTCCTCCTGACACTATACCTGGCCCAATCTTGATGATTTAAACACAGTAGATTTTGAATTAAAATATGAACCAAGAAAAGAACCCTATTTTAGAGTTCCAGATTCCTCAGTGTGAATGAAACTGCACCTTTCAGAGCATGCTTTGATTGTTCTCACTGGGAACTGAGTGTAAAACTTGGCTGAAGTAGGAGAGGAAAGCAGACAGTCACATGTAGTGCTGGGCCAGATAGAAACTGGCTGCAGACAGAATGCAAACAGTACCTTTGCCTCATGTGCTGCATCAGAAGACCAAGCAGAAGAACCCTGGCGGACTGCTGTGTTTACATCCAGAGCTTTCGCAGGTTGCAAACTAATCTTCACTGATAGTTCACCTTCCAGAAATTGTCCTGTTCGGCTTCACTAAGATTTCTTTTGTTCTTTTCTTTCTTTTTTTGTGTGTATGTGTGTGTGCTAAGGATTGAACCCAGGATGCTCGACCCGTGAGCAACATTCCCAACCCTTTTTACTTTTGAGACAGGGTCTCACTCATTGCTGATCCTCCTTAGAGGTGTTCACCGGGAGGCATGGCAAGACTTTTCTTTTTAATATTTATTTTTTAGTTGGACACAATACCTTTATTTATTTATTTTTATGTGGTGTTGAGGATCGAACCCAGGGCCTCGCACGTGCTAGGCAAGCGCTCTACCACTGAGCCACAACCCAGCCCCATGGCAAGACTTTTCTTGAAAGGAAACTTTGGTCACTGCTATGCAAATATAACCCTTGATTCTATCTCGTGATCTATAAAGTCACTGCAAACTCAAGAGTAACTGGATACAGTGGTCACTCCTAGGCAGGGCTTTACTTTCCTCATTTTCAGTTACCCTGGGTCAATTTATTGTCTGAGAATACCACACATAACATTCCAGAAATAAACGATTTCTACTTTCATTATGATATGCTGTTATAATTGCTTTATTTTATTATTAACACTTGTCCATCTCTTACTGCATCTAATTTATAAATTAAACTTTACTATTGTTACATATTTAGGAAGAGCCATTCTATGTAAGTTTTGATATCATCTGTGATTTCAGGCACCTGGGAACGTCTGAGAACACAGCCCACCCTTCTTCTTTGCTGAACTTGTTATTAGGGAAGGAAAAGGTTAGTTTTCTTCAAGCCTCTGGTCACATTTTCAAGTGATCAATACATAACCTTGTTTTATGTTTCTGTTTAGAGGCCCTTTATTTAATATTCGTTGTTGACTCATTAACTCTGAACTCACAGCTTTAGAAGCATTGTCACTCAGGCTGAAATTGTTACCTGTTTGTAGAGCTGGGGATTAAATCCCCATTTCTTGTGTACTAAGTACAGGCTCTAGCACTGAGCTCTGCCTGCAGCCCCTTGAATGGATTTTATCCAACACACTGGTTTTCTCCAAATGCACATGCAGTCTTATGTGCTTTGAAACCCTAGACACACATCAGCACTGGGCACAGGGGCATTTTAAACAGTGGAACCACCACCAACAAGCTCAAGAAGGTGAAAATGAATAGACGGCAAAATAGATACCTACTGCCGCCTGGAAGTTGGAACAAGAGGCAGGAATGGCCTTGTCCAGCCAGGTCACGCTCATCTGGCAACTTGAACTTTTTGCTGGTTATCACATGTTAACAAAGGACGGTGAAAACCGTGCAAGCACTGATTTGTGGGTGATTTTTAGCGAGTAAGTGAATTTGCAAATATAGAACAATATGTTGATAAAGCCGACATGCAGTTTTAAGATCTGTTGATTTGGGATAATGCTCATCTCCTAGTACTTTAATTTTAGGTTTATACAATACCAAAATGTTTTAAAAATTAATTGCTTTTATATGGTGTTTTGCTAGTGAATGTGCCTTTTTAAAATAGATCTTCACCTTTTTCTCCCATTGAAGTCAGTGATCTCTCTCTGGCTTGACTTTCTACACCCATCCAAAAATCACTCACCAAACACCTTCCCTGTTTCTGGGTGTGACAGGCCCTGATTTTAAAGCCTCATTAACCAATCAACAATGACATAGTTTTGGGTTGTCTTAAAAATAAGAATTTCATTATATTTGAGCTCTAAATATGTGTTCAACATATTAAAAAGAGTAAATAATTTCCCTTTGGCATGTGAAATCTTTCAGGTGTCATTTTTATGACAAAGAAGGTTTATGAAATTTTTTAAAAGTGGAATTATAGATCGATCCCTATATGTCACCATTCCCTAAATTCAATTTTATAGAACAATTAATGGAGGCTATGCAACTAGATAAATTTAAATAAATTATGAGCAAAGTCAAACTTATTTCCCAACTACAGACTTTCTTACAGATTTTTAACTGCTAATATACATTTTAAAATCTGATGAGGTTCCAGTGTGTCCCACAGAATTAACTACGGAATGTCCTAGAACAGTGTTGTCTGTGTCCCCAGATAAGGACTGGCCAGTGCATAGGACATATAGGATGTGTCCATCAGCCTTCCATCCCTATAACAACATCTGGGATAGCCAACATATAAAGAAGAAAGGTTTACTTTGGCTCATAGTTTTGGAGGTGTCAGTCCATGGTCAGTTGACCTTGCTGCTTTTGGGACAGTAGTGGAGCAGGACATCATAGCAGGGAGAATATGGTGGAGCAAAGCCACCATATTCTTCATCACCAGGAAGCAAAAGAGAGGAAAAGGAAGGGGCCAGGGTTCCACAGACTTCAAGGACAAGCCCCATGACTTACAAACCTTCCATGAGGTCCCACCTCTTAAAGGTCCCACCACCTACCAATAGCACCTTGCTGGGGACCAGTCAGCACATGGGACTATGGTGGACATTTCAGATCCAAGCTATTGCATTGGAAGTCTGTGGCTGAGGTGCTGCCTCTGACCTGTGGGCTTGGGTGGAGGGAACATTTGGGAGATAGATCCCAATGGAAATTAAAGCCCTGTCTCCCATTGTCTTGGGTACATGAACTTAAACACCCCCTTTTTTCTCTTGCAGCACATATTGAAGGATCGTTTCCTGTTGTTTTAGGTTAATAAAGCAGACACACTGCTCTCTCCAAGGTGATTTTGCAAGAAACATTTGTTAACTACTGACAATGAACAGACGCTGTGCTTGGGGTGGGTAATGCCAAGATGAGTGAGAGTCTGAGCTGCCAAGAGAAGAAAGAAGCTCCTAGTGATTTCCCTTTGATCTTGTTTTTCATGGAGCATTGATAATCATCTCAACCTCAGTTACCAAATACAAATATTTCAGGAGGCACCTAGGCAGAAAATCACTGCTCTTTGAACCCCATTGAGCCCAACTGAGACTGCCACTGTTGTAAGGATGCTTGTTGAAATACTGTGGCTTTTCTGTCTCTTCTCACATTTCTACAGAGACAGCATCACCTGCAGAACACATAATATGTTTTAAAATTGTCCCAAAGCGGCCTTTTGGTGAGAGAATCAATCAGTTGGTCACTTCTTTTACTTTGTGCAATTTGAAATTTGGTGTCAGTCATCTCTGTACATGAGGAAAACATGATGACATTGTTATCAAACCTCTGTTATGTACCAGGTGCTGCACTAGGTACCAGAAGATGCCATGAATGAAATTTGGTTACTGTTCTAATT